GGCTTTCCCGTTCCACCCCATCCAGGCGATAAAACCGGGCCTAGCCCTTCCCATAACGAGCCTCACGATGTCCGCCCAGCTCCCGCGCAATTAGTAGCTCCAATTAACCCCGCGCGGGGAATGTGGCCGGCCCGAGGACGAGCTCCGGCTCCCAAGCGCCTCCGGCGGCTGGGGGGAGGCCCGGGAAGGAGGCAGAGCCCCCGCTGGGGGCTGCAGCTCCCGGGAAACTCCTGCCCCTGGGACCCCGGCGACTCGTCCCGCCCGGCGCTTCCCGGCCGCAGATGCCGGCGCTTCCCGTTTTCCGCCAGAAAGCGCCCAGGTATCCAGCGGAACCGCGGGACGGGCCCGAAAGAGCAAGTGAAGCGGAAATTTAAAGCCCCTCCGCTAATAATAACAGTATAAATAACCGAGGACATCTTGTAAACAGTGCGGTCATAACCCTGAAACATTAAACAGCTCGGTGGGATCTGGCGCATCAGCTGCCTGCGGCCCCGGCCCGTGCAGGGAGGGAGCCCCGCGCGCCTGTTTATCTCACACTAATCTCCCCCGGGCGCGCTGATCGATAGAGGGGACGTGTTTAAGCCAAAACCTCTCCGCGCGGCGCAGCGGGGCTCGGGGAGCCCCTGCCCGGCCCCTGCCCCACCGCGCCGCGCCAGCAAGTGCCCCGGGAGCCGCTAACGGGGCCTCCGCTCCGGCCGCGGCCCGGCCGGGCTCGGCGCCGCGCGCCCGCGGCTCTGCTCTCCCGGCGACATTTCCCGCAGGAACGACGACAAAATCAAAAGAAAGGAGGCAGCTCCTCGCCGCTGCTCCGTGTCTTCTTTCCACGGGCCCCTCTCCCGTCGTTACTCGCCCCTTTCCGCTCGACTCTAACCCCCCGAAATGCCCCGCCGGGCTTCGGTGCAAAGGCTCCACGGTCAGAAAACGCGGGAGAGCGACGCTGCCCGCGCGCGGGCTCCGCGCTTGTCCCGCGCCGCTCCGCGCCAGCGCGGCCGCCTCCCCCGCTGCTGCGGCGAAAACTACAGCGCTCTGCCTTCAAGGGAAAGGAAGGTTTATTCACAGAAATAGAGCAAAACCCGTTCGAAGAAAATATATCTATATATCTTTAGGGTGAATTAGTTCATAGAGATGACTGTCAAAGTCAGTTATTCTAGGCATCTACATATTTCACAGGTCTCAGACAAAAGATACACGGGCGGTAGTTTTGTTTGAACTCTGTCTTCTCTCTCTTAGCGCTTGAACCAGCAAGGCTGTTGTTGCGGGACGCTCGACTGTACACGCATTTAATAAAGTTAAATATGGTCGGGGGTCTCTCGGGGCGGAGTCTTTGCTAGTTCACGTACGTTTGGTCTCCTTGGTGCCGGGAGAGGGGCTCTCCCCGTCGCTCTGCCCGCGGCGCGGGGCAGCAGCGGCGCCAGCGCAGGTCTCCCCGGCCACGCGGGGCCGGTGCTCTCGTGGGGCCGCCGTGGGGCTCAGGACGCCGTCGGGCCGCACAGGCGGTTTGTGCTCACCACTTCCTTCAGGTCACTCTCGGGTTTGCCGGCTACCATAAAAGGCCAAGTCTGTAGCCAGGGAAAGACACGGGTGGGAAGGGAGTTACAAAACGCGTACGGATGCACGTCGGAGAGGTCATTTCTTTATTTTCATCTAGACGCGCCTCGCGGGGCGGCAGCGCCCGCAGGGGCTCGGCCCGGGGAGGTCCCGCCTCGGCCCGCGACTCTTTGGGCCGCCAGCTCCTGGCGCGGAGCCGCGCAGCTCCCCCCACGGCTCCTCGCAACCCGAGCCGGGCCACGGAGCCGGGCCGCGGAACCGGGCCACGCAGCCGGGCCACGGAGCCGGGTCACGCAGCCGGGCCACGCAGCCGGGTCACGGGGGAGCCGGGCCGCGGAGCCGCATCATGGAACCGGGTCATGCAGCCGGACCACGGAGGGAGCCGGGCCGCGGAGCCGGGCCAGCCCAGCACCGCAGGGCCGGGGCAAGCACAGAGCTCCTCTCTGCCTTGGGCCCAGCGCCCTCCCGCAGCCGCCTCCAGCCCCACTCCTCACCTCCCGCGGCTTGGGGGGCAGGATTTCGCGTGCCCGTGTGTGCAGGGGGGTCTGTTTTTTAGGGGGGAGGGTGGTTGCTGTTGTTGTTGTTCTGAGGATTTTGATTTTAGCCAAAGACATCTCCCAAGCTCTTATCAGATGACACAGCGGGGAACAGACTTTCCCCTGGAGTTCAGAGCCTTCAAAAAGCAGCTCAAGAGGCAGCAGGGCTGGATCCCAGGGAAATGTCTCCAAGTCTCTGCAGCCAGTTTACCAGGCGTGGTCTGCATGTGCGCTCAATGTAAACACTATACGGTAAAGAAGAGCCCTGCCGGATCTCACACAGTATTTTTAGAACTGGAAGAGTGGATGTTTCTGGTGGCCGAGGGCAGCAAGGGGACCCTGCGCTGCCCAGGAGAAGTTTCCGTGTCTGGTTGCAGCCACAGCAGTGGCTGCCACGCAGCATTGACCTGGGGCAGATACCCCCTCTTCACGAGTCCAGATCATTGTTTATTTCTCCTCTGCAACTTTACCTGTGTAGGAGAAACATCCTGGACACAGCAAATGAGAGCCAGTGGGGGCAGAGCCCCCATCAGAGCTCTCTCTCTCAAAGTCTGGGGTTTGTAGGTTGTTATGGCAGGACACTGGGACGGAAGGGAGTGGTGGAAAACAAACCTCCTAGGTTCATTCCCTCCAAAAATGCACCTTTGTCTACCTAAATTCCCAAAGATATCCACCCAAGGGTAGAAATCTCCTCAGAGCCATCAGTTTGCTGAGGTTTCTGAGGTATTTCTGTCATGGTAAAGCCTGTGCCTGTGTTTGTGTGGCCTGCGTGGCCAGTGCACCCCTTTCCTGGGAAGCACTGCAAGGAGTGGGAAGTGGGGCCGGGGCTGCTGTAAGCAGAGCAACTCTTTGCCACCGCACTGGCCGGCACCACGAGAAGCCCGCGGAGGTTTGTGCCCCACACGCAGCCCGCACCAGCCCCTCGCCCAGCTCTCCCCATAGCCGCGTGCGCACAAAGCGCCCGGCCCCGGCGGGCCAACACTTACCAGGTTGACCGGGTGGATGTAGCCGTTCTCATACTTGTCGTTGGCCAGGATCTGCCTCAGGTGAGCAATGTAGCTGGAGGCCAACCTCAAGGTGTCCAGTTTGGAAAGCTTGGTGTCGGGGGGCACCCAGGGCAGGGTGGTCTTAAGCCTGGAGAAGGCTTTGCTAAGGACCCTCATCCTCGCTCTCTCCCTGGCGTTGGCAGCGTTTCTCTGGACCTGCTTTCCCTCCTGGCTCACTCCATTTAAAGGACTCTTCTTGGGGGGAGCTTTTTTCCTCTTGCCCGAGGCGCCTCTCCCCTTCTGAGGCGAGCCGTTCTCGCCATTGGATCCTTCCTCGTTGCTCTCGTTGGAAGCCCCAAACTCTTTGTTGGTATCCATTTTCAGGCCATCGCACTCCAGCATCTCCATCTCCTGCAGATCTTCCACATCACTGAGGGACCCAGTGGACATGGTCTGGAAGATGCCAAAGGACCAGCAGGAAAGGGGAAGGGAAAGGGGTGGGGGGAAGGAAGGGTAGCGCCTCAGACCTGCTTGAAGGCGGTGGAGGAGAGAAGGGGCGCCAGTATTTTCCTCCCCTTCCCTCCTCCCCTTAGCACGAGGGCTCAGTACCGGTCCAGAGAGGCTGCCCGCCCTCCCGCCCCCCAACCCCACTTTGCCCGTGTTTGAAGGAGGGAGTAAGTGTGTGAGAGAGAGGGAGAGGGAGAGAGAAAGCTGAGGAATTTGGTGAGGACACTAGTAATTTATCTGGGGGATAAGAGAGGCGGATCCAGCCCAGGGGAGGGGCCCTGCCCGCTGAGCGCACCACATCCCCAATCACAGACCTTTGCACGGAACCGGGAGTGAGGTATCCCAGAAAACACTTGCAGAGGGCTCTAAAGTGGGTTTCAAAGCTTCACAACTGGAGCAAAGCAACTCTGTCTGCCCTCTGCATTTCTGTACGCCTCCTTTCTCCTCTTCTCCTTCCCCACTTCCCTCTCCAGCGCAGGGTTGCTCTCCCCCTTCCTGCCTCCTACATGACCCAGGCAGCTGGTGTCATGATTCTTGACGAAAGCCAAAATGGGTCACGAGCAGCGAGAGCAGCAGACCCACCAGMACAGCCTTCCAGGGAGCTCTGCAGCGCCCGCCGTTTGAGCGCTGTCCCGTAACCTAATCTGAGGGAGATTTGTGTGTGATTATGCTTGAGAGTGCATCCTGTCCAGCTCCTTCGCGCGTTCCAGGACGAGGGAGCCCCGCGCCTCAGCAGCGACGACTCCGGGGCTGGAGCGCAGGCAGGAGGAGCCAACTTGCTGCAGGCTTCCTGGGTGACCTTTGCAAAGTCCTGGTCTCCTCTCCTGCTGCTTGTGCTCCCCTGTCTACAGATGGCAAAAAAAGGCTGCCCTAACCTGTGGGTGCGCGGCCGTGCGCCCCAGCTCCCCGCCACCCCCGGAGCCCCAGAGAGAGGGCTGCACTGCTGTCCGGGGTTATCGTGGCTGCGGATAAGGTGGCTATGCTGAAATACTGCACTGAAATGAAGGGGGAGGAGGTTTAGTGGATGATAGGCATCACACGGGGAAAAAAAATGCCTCTTTTCTGGGCGTTTTACTGCAGGGCAGGCTCCGGCATTGCGCTCCGCGACACTGGTGGAGCTGTTGTCCGTCTGCAGCTCAGCGCGTTTTCCAAGGCGAGGGAGTTCTGCCTGAGTACACAGCCAAGATAAGGCCCTTTCCGTGGGAGAGGGAGCACGTCAGGCCTTGCTCTGCTAACAGGGAACTCCGATAGGACTTTTACACTAGAGTGTGTTACTGAGCTGTATGCACRAGTTATGCAGTTATGTTCCTTATGTACGTATGTATTCCGTCTCTACACAGCAGGGATTTTAAAGCATTTACACTTGATCTATCTCTTCTTCCTCTCCATGTGATGCTCTAAACCCACATGGGGAGTCCAAAAAGAGGGCAGTGAAGCAWGGACTTCCTCATACATCTTCTTCCCCCTTCACACATCTCCTGCACCCTCACAGCAGCCTCAGCAGCCTGAGCTTTGAATATGGGGGAATTCAAAGGGACTTCCAAGAGGGAACTTTGTGGACACGGGTCCACAATAACTGGTCTTATTGCAGGTGAAAACCCGATTAYTCTGCAACTTACCTGAGGATTCCCACAGCCCTGAGCAAGAATGCATGAGATGTCACTGTGGGACGCAGTAACTCCAGGGTTATTCCCTGGAGTCTGTGAAGCCRTAGAATGACCTCTCACTGACTTGTGTGAACAACACATGAGGTTTTCTGTATGCACTAAACAAAAGAATGATCAAACAAACAAAAAATTGTGGAGGCCAAACCACTGTGTTTGCCAAGTGCCATACACTACTCTCATTAATGTTTCAGTAGGAGGGAGAGAGTCATTATTGATAATTAGCAAGGAAGTCTTTCCTATCTTTTTATCCATCTTGGTCCCTTGGCTTGCCAGAGGAAAAAAAGGCAGTTCTAAACTTTAAACCAGCTCTTTACCATTTGGCTGGAAGATAACACCTTCCCACTCACGATAGGATAAGTGCATTAAGATATCCTATCTCCAAGCCCAGGGCTCTTGGGAATTCACTAACCTCTAACGTCATGTTATGTTAACTGTGCCCTGTTTGTATTTTTGCTGTTTTATAAACTAAACAGTTTGTCAGCATATCAGCCTTAATTAATGAATTAGCTTTTCTTTCCCTCTTTTTTTTTTTTTTTGTTTTTTAATAACATCCTTGTTGCAGATCCAAAATATTACTAATCACCAGTGTGGAGATTTATGAGCCTCCTTATTTTCTAGGGCTGATTGTTGTTTGTGCAGGTGGAGATTTAAATGGCTATATCCACTGCTGAGATTTRTAGTCCCAGTGATTGATGCTGGAAATGAGCTAAAGGACTCTTACCAGAGCAAGGAYGATGGAAAATCAAGTTGAAGTTGCTTGTGTCTCTAAGCATGAATGACCAAAGMGCAAAAAGCACAAAGTACCTCTAAAATCCCAACCTCAGATGCTTCCTGAAGAACAAAATAAAACTATATGTACTGATATCCTTTTCCATCTTCTATTTTTAACTTTATTTTAGGCATTTCTTTTTTGTTTTATCTTTGTGAAGATGCCACTTTATACTGCTACATACATTCTGAAATTAAATGCACACAAATATATTCATTATGGATCTTTAGAAATGCTAAACATTTGTAACTTTTACTGACAAATATCTTTTTGAATCCTTAGAGCTGGTGACAATTTGTTTCTAATACAGAGCATACATTTCTGTGATGACACACCACATTTTTGTGTGTGGTGGATATTCTTGTGTGTGTTATATACATGTAAACATGTTACATATTAATCTGTGATGCCTTTATGCATAGAGACTGTTATACAGTCTTTTAATGGCATAATTATCCTCTTTTATCCTCCACGGGGCCAGTCTGAGCAGGCCTCAAAACAGCATTATGTCGTCYAGCCTCTGGGTGACTCCTATTCCCTCACTAGCTTATTACATGAGTCCAGCCTCTCCTTTCGAACCCTTCCTGCTCCTTATCCTTCCTGCTCCCRGGGCTTGTATCCCTAATCCAGTTCCTAATCCAGTTTTAATTGCTTTCCCCTCATCCTTATTGGYTTGCTGGGTACTCCTGACTCCTGTTCTGTATCGCACCTCTAGTTTCCTGATCACTTCAGTCCCGTGTGAAGGGTAAAGATGGGATGGGTGCCACCACTTCAGGGGTGGTGTGGGCAMTTTCCCTTATAGATGGCTGGGACCACAGACTAACCTGTCAACAGCTGACTGAGAGAGACAGGCTGAGCTAAAGCCCTTGCAATACATTGACTCCTTCATTTATATTTTTAAAAAAATGAGTTGGAAAAATCAGTACAGAATTTGCTCTATAACTGACTTTCATCTCTGCAGTACTCTAGCTGCACAGTTTGCACCTCGCTTTTACCCAGGACACCAAAGGGAAAAAGGTGTTTGGTGACAAGCTGTAGAGCTGCACATTGAGGAGCACCAAGACATAGCTCCGCTTTGCACAGGTCTTGCATTGGTCTGTGCCGTGTTACACACTTTCCCCTGAAAAAAAAAGCTCCACTTTCATGTCTCTAATCTTCTCTCTACTGAGCTTGAAGAATATAGTAATTTGAGACTGCTTTGGAACTTGACGCCAAGATTTCTTTAAGTGTCTAGTGATTCTGCATGGCATGGCTCTTTATTTTTATTTTATGAATTTTGTGTCATTTATCAAGGCACCATATCTTTGCTCTACATTGAAAATTTGCCCAAGAAAAACCTCAGGTCTAAGATGTGGTCACCCACATCTGAGGAAAATATAACTAGCTAGTTTAAAACTTTTGGTCCAGGTACAATACAGATGTTTTCCTGTATCTGGAGAATAACCAAGGAAGGCAGCCACAGGCAGCTAGTTGATCATAAGTCATGTTCATCTAGATTTGTGAATGATCAGAAAGAAAATTAGTATTTTCATATTGCATTTTTTACAGAAAATGTGATTACACTGAGATTTCTCCTGCTTTCTTGTGGTTTCACCTGGAAACTAAGCTAAATTGTATAGCAGCTTTGGAAACACACGCCTTAAGTGAAATAACACTAATCATTACAATATGAACATACAAAATTTAAAAAAATACTGATTTGCAAATAATTCATAACCTGATTTCAAGTAACTTTTATGTATATCTCTTTTAAGACAGAAGACAATTTTTATGACACAGTTTGATGATGCTTCATTGTATAGGACTCAATCTTGTTCACTGTAGAGGAGCGACACTGCTGGGGAAATGAATGAAAGGTGTTTGTGAAAGTGGGGCAGCTTTATCAGAAGGGCCAAGCATTGGCTTCCCTCTACTCTTTTCCAATGTTGCATATTTGCTTCCGGTGACCGTTTTGGTTTGCAAGTTAAAAGATTTTGTGATAAATAAGATAGGACATCACGCAAAAAGAGATTTGTCCCATTCAAGACAGTGAAAAGGCTGTTTGGCATCTTAGCATGCGAAGCATATATGTTTATGCGATACCTCTGTGAGTAACCACCTCACTCACGGAATTTCAATTTCTTGCTGCAAAGTCCATAGAAGTCAGAGCATTTTGAGAAAAGTTTTTTTTTTCAGACTAGTTTATCACAAACAGCAAGTACAACAAATATTTCCTGCTGTTCTCATTTAGAAAAATCTGGAAGTTTATACTGAYACTGTTTATACTGGTACTGATACCTTGAATTGAAAATCACAATTTGACAGATTACGTATTAGAGAATTTAAAAGCAAATAATTAATATTTCCATTTCACWTTTTTTTTAATCCTGAAATTATGGAAATTATAAAACCAGAAACATTGAAACGTTGATAAACAGCGTTCCATTCTTTAAAATGTTTTATGAATATTGACAAAGTATGTGATAATTGCATGATTTCTTCTACCCTAGTTTATGCCCTTTTCCTTTGAGTAGCTTCACTGAAATCATYAGGGTTACTCGTAGACTAATACAGTCTGTGTGAACAAGAATAATAAAGGTGCCTCAATAGAATTGAA